CCGGGAATAACAAATAACCCTCTATTCAACTGCTTCATACTATCGATAACTCGTCTGGTCAACTTGAAGTCGCTCTATGTGATGTAACATATCAGTGAGTGTGAGTGAGTTAAAGTTTAACGTCACATCGGTAATGTAACATATTACGTGGACAAATATAAATGCTGCGAGAGTTAATAATAAGTTAATACTAATTGATGTCAATAGTTTAGAAAACCCATTATTATACCTGGTTGGTATTACAGCGTATGCTCCCTCAATGATGAAATTTGTAAGTCTAATGGAATTAGTCTCACACAAAATGAGTCGAGTGGGATGCTGATTTTAAGCGCTGGAGAAAAGCAAATATTTCTTGATTGGAGTTTATCAGATACCCTTGGATTTGTTAGAAGAGGAGAAAGAGTAACAATAATAATACGACACAACAAAACACGGCATGGAGTTAAATTACCCGATTTAGTTCCCTATAAAGAGTTATGCATCCATCTTGATCAGATCAGCACAACGGATAATATTCAACTCGAAAGTCCTTCAACTCTGCTGAGAGCTATTCCAATCAAAGAAGAAAAATACAATAGCGGTAGAACGGGGTCTTTCTCATCATTACATTATACAAAGTTAAAGCGGGATATTATTTCAGACCTCAAAATTTCGGTATTAGATGTAAAACATCAACCTGTACATATAGGATACTTGAGTGTAAAACTCCATATTATAAATAATGGTTGATTCATCAGGCCCTGGAACACATATCCTTAGACTATGTAATACAATTGTGCTTTCCGATCTCGTAGACACAGAAGGATTTGGTAAACCCGGTATCGATGGTAAGTTATACGCTTTACACTTACAAGATAATGTATACAAGCGGAAAGAAGTTGTATACACAGCACCTGCACCTAATCTAGGAGATTTAAATGATGTCGCCGTTAGTAGACTCAATAAAAACACTTCATACAATCTTACTCGCAACGATGATAATAAATGGACTATGATCGAACAAAATATCGTCATTACCCCACCATATGTGATGATGGGTAAGGGACATCAATTAACTAAGATAATAAATAGTGGGATCGTACTCGCGGCTTATATCCCCCCAAAACGAAAAAGAGTGTTAGTCTCTCCCCTGCCAGAAAACCCAGGTCATATGTTATTTAGTCTTCCGGCAGTAAAAAATGTTAGTTTAAATTTGGTTACTGAATTCAATGATATTAAAGATCACTTGAGTGCAATAGATAATCCTTCTACGTTTATTATTGAAGTCTTGTTTTGAGATGCACCGGTAGATGCCTTTGAAATATTACCAGGTGTTGCGCAGTGGAACTGAATATTTGAGGGTGGTTTAAGGTAAATGAAAACTAATCTTAAATTTGAATGACTTACCTTTTTTGAATGAAACAAGGAACTAAACGTGATAACCTATTAAAGAACTATGAACATCTATAAGGAACTAAACGTGATTACCTGTTATTATGTGAAGGAAAGATGAATTAACCTCAAATGAAAGAAACTAAATATCTAGAACTAATGCTAATTCTATCAGTTACTGTATGCTAATGTGTTGGTTACTCCTACGGGAGTCTTAACACTGTCTAACACCATCTCGCTAACCAACATTCTAACGAACTCTCACCAGCCATCTCTCTAATCATCTAACTAACGAACTCTCTAACGAACTCTGACCAACGCTCTAACCATCTAACTAACCAGCTCTCTAGCGAACTCTGACCAACTCTCTCTAAAACTCTGACCAACTAACTAACTGATGCGCGCTACCGCCTTATATTTGCTCACAACCCTCACATGTCACGTGCAGTCACAGCCATACTTTGGTGTGTTCAAGCCATGCGATCGTTATGCATCAGGTGCGTTTTGGAGAACAGATTCTTTATTTAAAACTAACACGACTGCACGTGAAGCGCGATCTATAGGCTCCGGGTGCGTTGTGGAGCACATTTTTAATGAACAAACATGTCTTCAGAACACCAGGTCTATCAATTAAATGGCTCAGGCAACACGAGCGTCGACGTTGTAGTAGTATTTATGTAGGAGCATCACCCGTTGCAACCCTTGAGGGGGTCCAAATTATTAAAGGTGATAGCATTTCTCTTACTAAGATATTTATGCCGTATAATATGCATTTAATAAGTCTGATGTATACTCTCAAAATATTGAAGCAAGACCAATTAAAGACTATTATATGATATAATAATATACATTAAGGGTTTATATCCGGCGCTCGATGAAAAGATTGATACTGTTAACGTTGATGGATTTCGATTACATCAAATAAGCAACATAAAACATAAAATAGAAAAGGAGAGGAAGTTGAGACTTGGATTGTATAAAACGTATGGCAGAGCCGTGAATGCTCTCGACGGAGTTGACACTGCGCTTGTAACGGCTAGCATTGGACTCGGTGAAGCCGGTGTTGGTTTATTATCAACTATAATCGCCATGCCTATCGTACTTGGTATGGAAGTAGCAGCCGGAGTCTCATGACTGGCAGGAATAGCGATAAAATTTATTTCTCAATTTTTGCAAGTTGCAAAAGAAAGCATTAAAAATTAATAATTTTCTGATACTCGCTGAAGCAAAGTTGAACAGCATTGAGGATCATATTTCAACAGCCCTGGCTGATTGTAAGATATCCGAGGAGGAGTTTCGGTAAGTGTTGTCAGAACTCACCAAATACAATGCAATGAAGCAGGAGATTCGATCAAGCTCTTGTAAGACCAGTGGTATTAGCGAAGACGAGAAAAAAATTCATAGAACAGGGGAGACAACAAGCTCGTCAATTATTCCGTGCCAAAACCAAAGAACTGGTTGGAGATTAAAAATAGATTGCTTGATCACTTGGATCGCACCGCATAAAAAATCATTCATTCATTTAAACGAATGCCTATATAAATATATAATAATGGAGAATTACAAACTAACAAAGGAAGAACTCGAAACAGCTATCGAAGCATTTATGCTCAGGGACAAAATTATCAAATAGAGAGATTTACCACAAGGTATATATTATATCAATGATGTCCAAACCAACCAAATACGGTCATCAATTGTTTCTTTCCAATTACCAAGAAGAGTATATAGTCTGGTCTCCTAGTAAAATGAACGAAGAACTTAGTAAAAATGTTGAATATTACTTTGTTAAAAATAATGGTATGCGTCTGAGTATAAATAATAGAGAATATTTTCATTACAATTTATACTGAGTCAAATTAAAAACTTCACATTTTTAAAAGTAATCCCATATATGATATACAACGGACAAATGTATCAGAGAAGGTAATTTTTAATCATTAATGTCCAAAGAAGGATTAAAATAAACGGTGGTAACCATAATTTGTTCCAAGCACCTACGGTATTCGGTAATAACATCAACAGTTTAAATCATAAGTCCTAAGCACGAGAATCTGATGGCACACAAGTTCAGTAGCGTGTATGGCCACCATGTGCGTTGACAACTGCCACACAACGCCTCCGCATGGACCTTGTGATGCTTGTGAACTCATGATTGGGAAGACGACGCCATTGTTGCTGCCAAATGGTGCCAAGATCTTGCAAATTCTGTGGTTGGTTCTGGAGAGTGCGCAGACTTCTGCCAAGAGCATCCCAGACGTGTTCGATGGGATTGAGGTCGGGAGACCTTGACGGCCAGTCCATGATGTTGACTCCCGCATTCTGAAGGAAATTCCTTGTCAAAATTGGTGTGTGGGGTCTGGATTGTCGTGTCGGAAGATCAAACCGGGTCCATGTGCTGCCATAAAAGGCAGAAGTTCTGGTGCTAGTACCTGGTCGCGGTAAGCAGCAGCGTTGAGGTTGCCACGGATGACAAGAAGCCTGGAACGTCCATTGCCATAGAAAGCACCCCTCACCATGACACTTCCGCCTCGAAATCTGTCAACTTCCTGTACACAACACTGGGCGTAACGTTCATGACGGCGCCTCCACACCCTCGCCCTACCATCAGCAAATCGAAGCTTAAATCGGAATTCATCACTGAAGACGACTTGATTCCAATTCCTCTGAGTCCATCGTAATTGTCGCTATGCCCACAATTGACGTTGACGTCTGTGTAATTGAGTCAGAATCGGCCCGCAGTATGGCCGTTGTGCTTAAAGGTGAGCAGTTCCCAGACGGTTTCGAATTCAGTCTACCCCTAAACAGTTCATTTCTGGTTGATGTAGCCGTCACAAATCGGTTACGGAGGTGACGTAAGACGAACTCTGTAAATCATAAACAGTCCGTCGACTACAACCCATCGTCCTTGCGACTTCTGCTACGGACGGTCCCGTCTGCAACATGCCGATGGCACGTTCACGTTGCACATTTGAAAGGCGTGGCATGACAAATGGCACATTTTTTCAATGACTGCTAACAAGTATGGCTAAAAACACGTGTGATATTATGGTCACGTGACCAGTTGCACGTGAAAAAACACTTTTGCCACTATAGTGCGATGCACATGATTTTGATCGATTTACCTGCACAAAAAAGTGTGTCATCTGAAGACAATACGTGGCCATTACTGTTTAAATACACAATAAGGGCCCACAATGATAACTGGTGAAAATGTTAAAATTTTAGGGTTATGAAGTTTTTAATTTGGTTCAGTATAGTTTAATCTCCTCATCGTTTTTGTGCTAAAAGATTCCCTCTATGGTATCATTGATTGGCTCCAGGTTGTGATGAGCTGGAGCCAATTTAACTTAATGTCATGACGATCGTTGAGTCACATCATCGTTTACACATAAATGCCCCTTGTAGTAGCAGTATAGTTTATATATATATATATATGGCTCCAGTGGGGTTGCGGCAGAACCATCATTACCTATACTACTCAATTGTATTCATGCACACTGGGATTCAACACTTTGGGTGAAGCGGAGGTCATTAGTCAAGGTTACCAGTCGGAGGTCACCAGTCAAGATCATCAGTCGTCACAGAGGAGAGTGTTGAATTTTCTCAAAAATCACAATGCACAGAACTCGTATTGAAAGGGTTTACTGAATACAGATTCGACTGATTTCCTTCCTTTAACAGCTGTACACTGCTCATGGGGAAAAGTTGTTCTGAAATGAAGATTTTATTATTCAGAAGCATACACAAGTACCAATATGCATGTTGCCACGCCTATTGTTATATTATATTATATTATATTATATTATATTATATTATATTATATTATATTATATTATATTATATTATATTATATTATATTATATTATATTATATTATATTATATTATATTATATATCCAAGAAATAAATAGATCATATTTGAACTATGTCAGATTTTGTAACAGATTTTAGTCATTAGATAAAAGTTTTCCTAGATCTATGAACTGAGTAAGCACACGAACTTACCCCATCGATGGGCCGAGCGCTGTAAGAAAGTAACACATCTCTATCATAAGATGTTGTTGCTTTACAGGACGCAAACAAGTACTCTTTTGGGTCTACTCCGCTCAGCCAATCACTGTCTAACTGTACATGTAGCCGAAGCTTTAGACACTTCACATTTTATGTTATTTCTATTGTGAAGTTTGTCACGGCTCATATTGGATTAAAGGCTTTCAGAGCACTTTGGCCCTTTATTGGGTAAATGTCTTCAAAACCCCACTCTTCTGAACCAAATGGTCTACATACGGCATACATAAAACTAGTCCCCGGTTTCCCTTTGGGTGAAGGCATACAGAATTCTCCTGATCGATTTCTTCTAATGACAATAACATCGTTGTGCATGAACATCCCAAGTTGCAGTTTTGTCATATCTGCTTGTTGGCCATATTTGGTAGGCTTTTGTTACATAAAACTGAACGAAGAACTCGTACATAATGAAACTAAACTATTCCCCATTCACTGCCTTTACATCGACATTAAAACCATGTGCATCATAAATACCTACTCGGGTGGGTACAAGTTGTTTTGTTTCATTCTCATGTGGTATTCCCCTCTACACAGGAGGAAAGTCTTATAGGATTGGCTTCTGTCCGTCCGTCACAGTTTTGCTCAGAGAGCAACAGGCTACCCGCCAAACTATCGCGGTTTTGGCCATGATATATCACGATGTTAAGATCGTGATACATCGTGAGAGATCGTGGTTGGTTCACGATGTCGGAACTATTTTTGACATGTGCTCCAATGCTCGTGTTACATCGTGTCCAGCTCGTGTTACATTTTGTCTAGCTCTTGTTATATTTGTGTTACATCGTGTCTAGCTCGTGTTACATCGTGTCCAGATCGTGTTATACTCGTGTTACATCGTGTTTTGTTTGTATGATTGTTGTTTAACGCCGCACTCAGCAATATTCCAGCTATAAGACGGCGGTCTGTAAAATAATCAAGTCTGGACCAGACAATCCAGTGGTTGACACCATGAGCATCGATCCACGCAATTGGGATCGATGACATTTATCAACCAAGTCAGCGAGCCTGACCACCCGGCCTTTTACGACAAGCATAGTCGCAAGTACGGCAAGTATGGGTTGCTGAAGACCTATTCTACCCCGGAATCTTCACGGGTCTGTTACATCGTGTCTTGCTCGTGTTATACTCGTGTTACTCGTAGATTTCATGATAATGTCGGTATGATTTCATCATGACGTCGCACTGAAGCAGAACCTAACTCGTGTCATATTCCAAAATACCCATGAAGATTCGGGTTGAATACGTCTTCAGCAACCATGCTTACCGCTTACAGTCGCTTTGTAAAACGGGGCCCTGATCTGCGCTAGGGTACGAAATCCTTGGGTTTATTGGCAGGAATTGTACTACGGTTGCATATGGTCCAATTCTATACATCCTCGGAGTCAAAGTACAGGACTAGATACTACTACTACTACTACTATTAGTGCTACTACTACTACTACTACTACTACTACTACTACAACTAATACTACTTCTACCAATACCAATACCACTACTACTACCAATACCACTACTACTACAACTACAACTACTTCTACCACCACCACTACTACTACTACTACTACTACTACCAATACTACAAGTACGACTACTACTACAACTACTTCTACTACTGGGGGCACGGGTGGCCCAGTCGTCCAAGGCAGTCGCTGTGCAGAGTTGCGTCCCTTGGGCACGCCAGGAATCTATGATTGTTCGTTCGAATCCCGGTCCGCCCCGATGATGTTTCTAGGTTGTCAGCACCATACCCGTGCTCGTGGGTTTCACCGAAGTGGTAAACGTGTGAGACCTGCATCACCTCGGGCTTTCCTCCCACATTAAGCTGACACGCCGTGATACAACTGGAATACTGTTAAAAGCGGTGTTAAACACTACTCACTCACTAACTTACTCACTTCTACTACTACTACTACTACTACTACTACTACTACTACTACTACTACTACTGCTACAACTACAACTACCAATACTCCTATTACAACTACTACTACTTCAACAACTACTTCAACTTCATCTACAACTACTACTACAACTACTAATACTTATTCAACTAATACTATAACTACTACTACTACTACAACTACTACTGCTACTACTACAACTACAACTACCACAACTACTGCAACTACCGCAACAACGACAACTACGGCAACTACGGCAACTACTGCTGCTACTGCTACTGCTACAGCCACTCCAACTACCAACTACCAACTGCTACTGCTACTGCTCTTACAGCCGATGTTATAACTACTACTACTACTACTACTACTACTACTACTACTACTACTACTACTACTGCACTACTACTACACTACTACTACAACTACCAACTACAACTACCAACTACTTATACTAATACTATTAATACTACTACTACAACTAATACTACTACAACTAATGCTACAATTTATAGTATTATTCCTACCGCAACTGCAACTGCAACTGCTACAGCTACAGCTACCGCTAATGCTACTACTCCTACTCCTACTACAACTACTACTTCTACTACTACCACCCACTACAACTACTACTACTACTACTACTACTGCTACTACAAATAACACTTCTTCTGCTACTACTACTACTACCAGTAATACTACTATTACTATTACTATTACTATTACTATTACTATAACTACTACTACAACTACACCTACTACTACTACTACAACCACTACTACTGCAGCTACTATTACTACTGATAATAATAATAGTAATAATAATAGTAATAGCAATAATCTCTATATTTACACATACGGGATTCTCTACATTGAAATCCTCAGCGTGCATTATTGTTTCCTCAACTCCCTGGGGAGTGCACAACTCAACTGATTTCCGCTATTTTTGCCATAAATGTTTCTTGTTTCTATTTGGTTATGTATTATGTAAATGGTCATACCAGTTTGGTTCGAAATCGATGGTCGGGCAGGCACCAGGAACCGACGTTGTGTACGCTAACGTCCCATTCGCGACCAACGTGGACTCGAACACGTCGAGCTCTCTGAAAGGGGAATATACATTTTGACACTTTTGGCATCGACTGAACAAACAAATAACATGCAGGCAACAGAACTAGCCCTAAACACAAACGATGATGTGGGCTCTCCATGCGTTCGCTCATCACGCCGAAGACCCGGGTTTTATTGTCCACATGGCTATAATGTATTAAGTGAAGTCAATTTCTGGTGTCCCCCATCGTGATATTGCTGGAATATTACTAAAAGCGGCGTAAAACCACACTCACTCACTGACCCAAATGCGGGACAAAAAATGCCTAATATTGTAAAAGAATTTATCGCTAGACCTGATAGATGTTCTGTAAATATGTTTAAAAAATGTTATGCCCCTCTCTCATTCTAGTATCCAAAACTTAATTATCTGTCGCGTTTTCAGGGTCGTAACATCGTGGTCGTCCTGACGCATCACTGAATCACAGAACATATATTTAAGGACATGATAATAAATATATCACTGTTTGGGTGAAACGATATACAACACATGCACCAGTTCGAAGGTTACCGATAAAGGTGTAGGTAATACTGGGTATAGCCGTCTATAAGTGTTATAATAACACGTACCGCTCTCATGTCGCATACGACATGACCTGTCAGTTTAAGGTGGCACATATTGGCTCAGCGCACCTAGCGGGTTAATAAAGGGAAGATAAATTGACACAGGTTGCCCATCAGCGGTCGCTTACGCGTTATCTGGGTAGGCGACGTAGACGAGGGAGGAGCACTGGTTGAGCTTGACGTCGGCGCAGGGGGAGGATCTACAGTCAATGAGCGTGAAGCACCTCGAGGCGGGGCTGTAGTGCCACAGGCCACCAAACTCATCACAAATGACGATGGTATCTGCAACAACAAGCAGAACATTGTATCGATCAAAATAAATTGTCCAGTAGTATAGGTAATGATGGTTCTGCCGCAACTCCACTTGAGCCAGATTTATATACCTATACTGCTACTACAGGTGGCATTTTTTATGTGTAAATGACTATGCAATTCAACGATAGTCATGAGAATAAATTACATTGACTCTAGCTCACCACCACCTGGAGTCAATCAATGCTTCTATGATATAATTTTTTATAGGTAATGGGGCTTGTGCCGCAACTCCACTGGAGCCGGATTTATATACCTATACTGCTACTACAGATGGAATTTTTTTATGTGTAAATGATGATGTGATTCAACGATCGTCCTGAGTCTTATTAAAAGAAACGTCAATATTAATTAATAATGAATAAAATTTACTATAGCCCACGAGGATATTGGAAAGGTGTAGGAGCAATAAAAATTAGCCACCGCGGCTAAGGTATCTAAAGATGTGGCCAAGGATTGGTTAAAGAAACAAGCGATGTGGCAAATATACTTACCAGCACCGCGTTATATACCGAGGAAGAAGTTTGATATTTTTACAACGAATGAAGTTCATCAGGCTGACCTCTTGTTTCTTCCCCACGATAAGGTAAGACGCAAAACCTATAAATACGCTTTAACCGCAGTGGATGTGGCTAGCCGATACAAAGAGGCTGAGCCATTAACCTCCAAAGATTCAACATAAGTAGCTGATGCGCTAAGCCGTATATATAAACGCTGACCACTAAAATGGCCTAAGCTATTTCAAGTAGATCCCGGTCGCGAGTTTATGGGAATGGTAACTAAACTGTTAACAAAGCACGATGTCGAAATCACGCGTGGTGAAAGAGAGGCCCCCCACCATAGTCAAGCTATAGTCGAAAGATTTAACAGGACATTAGCGGAATGTTTGTTTGGCTATCAATATGGAAATCGAAATGAAATCGGAACGATTGAGATCAACCGAATGGGTGACACGATTATCAGCTGTTGTATCAGCGCTGAATAATGAAGTAACGAGATTAATCGGGAAGAAACCATCCGATGCAATTAAAATGAAATCCGTGACTTCCGAATCTTCAGCACCGAGGAGAGGCAAAGAACAAAAACTTGCGGATAGAGTAAGCGTGAGATATTTATACCAGCTCGTTGAATTCGAAGGAGGCCTACGTCGCACAACCGATCCGATTTGGTCTCTTAAGACATATTACATTAGTCGATTGGTTATGAAAGAAGGAGAGCCTATTCTTTATTATCTTAAAGATGGACCGGGTAGGGCATTTGTAAGAGAAGAGTTGTTCATAGTTCCCAACGATACAGTATTACCGCCCTAAGTAACCATAAGCGTAGGTAGTTACACCATCCTTATCAATCCACCTCTTTGTATCTAAGGGGGATAATGATGTCTTGTTAATTCTTAATCCATATATCCTATGAGTGTAACTTTTTAAAGAGTTCATCTCGTGTTTGAACGTTCTACCGTTGAATAATGCTTCTTTATACTGTTCGTGTTTGATATGCTTTTTTACCACATACTTCTTAACACCCTTAACTTTTCTTATCTCTCCATTATTGGACTTCTTTATAGAATACATCTTAGGTCTTAATCCTACATACTCCGCTATAGGGGTCCCAGCACATTCATCCTTCATCTTACCTAACACCTTTTTATTTACTACGCTCTACAGTGGATTATCTTTTGGGTAATCGCTCGTGTCGTACATATCTATTTTTTCTGCCATATATTTATACACATCCTCGGTTTGATTTCCATCAACAAAGAATCTGTGTCGGTATATAACACCTCGCATCTATCGCCGTATTGCTTCTTAAGTTCGTTGTAATAAAAGTCATACATTAAGTGTTTTGACAAGTCGAGAATACTCATACCGACGTAAACCAGTCTGTTGAATTTTATATTACTCTTCTGCATATGCAACGCGGCTAAGTCGTTATCGAATATCTTGCTTCTGTTAAAAGGCTGACTGGCTATAAGTTTCCTGAGTCTTTCTACCTCATTAGATCTGACTAATTTAACATCAACACACTTCTTTAGATTCTCCTCAGTTTTACCAAATACTGAGTTATTCATGAGCTTATATAGATTCATTTCGAAATTGCTGGTAGCTATCTTTCTTAAATCTGTGTTCAGCCTTATATAGGGCTCCATCCAAGGGCTCTGATCAAAATTTAGAACTCTGTGTATTTTCTTTAGATTCATACCTAACGATAGATATAACTGGAGATTTCTGTAGTGAACGATATATTTTGTCTTATCCATCAAATTTGGTACAAGTTTTTCTACGTTAGCTAACCTAGTATTACCCATCAAGGAGTGTTGATATTCCGACATCCAATCTTTATTAACCATTAATCTTTCGGGAGCTAGCGGATAACTGTTATGATCTTTATGTAACGAATTTGGATATTCCAAGTGAACTTCTAGTATGTACCCTTTATTTACATTGATATTATGGATTTCATTCACTTCGATATCATCGACCCACTCAAAACCACCCGTGGGTAAAGGTTGACTCATAGCCCATCCGTACAAATTGTTAGCGTTGAGATATAATATGTGCGTGTTGGGTTTACTCGGATCATATCCTCTCACTAATTTATTATTAGCCTTAGAATACCTTTTCGCTACCATCGATATACCACCTCTTAATCCTTTCTCAATAAACAAGTGCATATCGTAATCTGTGAGTAGTTTTAGTTCTACACCGGTCTTCTTCAACAATGCATCCCACGATAGTCCGGGACTGGAATAGTACCATGCCGGGTCCAAGCCATATTGTTTTAAACATGTCTTTCTAAATATCTTGAATATATCAGCGAGTAACAGTACATCGGTTTTTAAGTAAATCACCTAAATTCTTACAACCTAATTTATCTCACACGGTCAGAGCATGTTAATAATCGGCATCGGTTAATTTAGATTCGGTTAAGTAACTTTAGAATGATTCAAGGGGTGGTAATTTAGTTTTGTCGAATCTAGACCAATCATCCATATATTCGTAAGGATATACACCTTTTCTCAGCAACAAATGACGAGTTAACCTATCGGTATATTGATTTGTTATCGCAAAGTCATCGGGATCGTTCGCATTAGCTAAATTGTCCAAGGAAGATAACAGAAACTGTACGGAGTCTATGAATCTAAGCCATTTACTTTGCTTTATTCTGGCTTTCCCATTCTTGTCCGTATAATGTATAGTTTTAGTCAACGAGAACAATATATATTTTTCCATATTATAAGGAATGCGTGTTAAACCGCCGTCGGTCTTTGAGATAGCTTGCATAATGAGATGTGAATCATATCCTCTAAGGTTGTGAAACACAACGGGGATGGGTATTGTTTGAGAATTCATTTTTAGTTTCAAGTTACACTCGTTATGCGCGGCTCCCCGATAGTTAACCGTGACGTTATCTCTTACAGAATCCCCATTCAGGGGTTTATTACAAACATGACAACTCGTTGACTTCTTATAGGCCCTCCAATCATCCCTCGTCATACACATGGGTTTCTTACACGATCAATTTTCCCTGATTATTCTCTCTTCATTTTGTAGATATTCTAGGAACTTTCCTGCTGCATCGGGACCTCTGTAAATCACGGGCGGGTTTGTTTTCCTATCATACCTTACAACTATGTATCCAAACCCACAAGGAATATGTTCTTGAGTTTTGTACGTATCTTCAGTATTATCTTGATTATTTTCTATAGGTTTGATAAGCGCTTCGAAGTCGGCGTAAATTACGTACGGTACTGGCATTTGATTACAATAATGTTCAAATTTTAATATATTTTTCACCTCTTTAGGCATATCGATCCTGATAGCAGTCTGTCCAACACCTCTGCAGTCTACTTTATGCGCTTCTAATAGATCTTGTCTGCTGTACCCATGCAGGCATCTTTCGCAGAAATATTTCTTTCTAGCATGTTTTGTTTGATCGTATAATAGCCTGCTTAAACTCTTTATCCATGTATAATGATATTTTCCATCTTTTTCGATCAGAAATGAATTGATTCTGGGAATATGTCCCGGAGCAGAGCTTATCCTGTGTACAACAATTCCTTTAGAATGTCCAAAAACATTTATAGCTAAATTATTTTGCTTTTCCACCTTATCAATTTGTGAGATTGGTGTAGGTTCGTCTATGCCATCGTAGTTGAGTCCATCGTTTTGAGGATAGCTAGAAGGTCTATTTGCAATTTTAGAATCTACGGGGAACAATGCAGATCTTATCATCATTCTTAAACAGTCATCGGATTTATTTTTTACATTAATTATGGCTTTTTTCTTTTTATAATACGGGGGTAAATCTATATAAGATCCACCTTTGAAGGGCATATAATTTGCTATATCTAAATGTAAACTATCAATTTTATCCACACCCCAACACGAACCTCTATTAGTCCAGCATTCTAAAGTTTCCTGTATCCTCTGAATTGATGTATCTAATGATGCGTTTATAGTATCGGATTCGGTTATAACTTCTTGATTGCTTCGGAAATATGGTTCGGTATATTTGGTGCTATCGTCTGTGTTACTTTTACTCAATGACATTTTAATCGTCAGCTGGTATTTTATACTATGTAAATCATCTAACTCCTCATTAATTTTACTCGATATGATGGGCTTAACATCATTAACATCCATGTTGGAATTAATATCCATCTTCCAACCTCTTAGATATTTACCAATGCCGGCGGATGTGGGTACAAATTTTAATTCTTGTTGTTTTTTATCAACATCGTCAATTGATTTATTATTATCATTATCTAGTAAAGCGATCAATTCAGCTCTTCTGATTCGAGAATAACCTCTCAGCCCACTGTTTTTTGCTTGAGCTTTGAGTTCTCTAACAGTCTGGGGTTTGTTGTATTCCAAACCGAGTAAATCGATCAATTCAGCTTTTTTCATTCGAGGATATCCACGTAGACCACGTTGCTTTGCTAAAGCTTTCAGCTCTCTGACAACATAAGTCATTGTGATATATAAATACATGTGAACTAATGTCTAATTGGTTTGAATTCTACCCAATCTATTTATCTCATTTCGGTAAGCCTTTTTCCTCTCATAAATAATTTCAAACCGTTTCTTGTCAGCACCGTGACTCTTACATAAACAGTAACTACCTTTGACCCCAAACCCACATACAGAACACAAATAATTAATGTGCCCTTTTCTAATTGCAATGGAGTGGATTCCACAAAAACCCGACATACAGCAAATTTGTGATCGGCCCATGCGTATGAATTTACATGATGATGTGCCTCTCGCCATTGTGATAAATATACACTTCTATTATCATTTGTCTAAATGCATGCCCAGCCTAACATCTCCACTGGTGATTTATTGATTAGCAGTCACTCTGACTGGCTCGCCCTAACTAGGTCATGGTTTATGCGTAGTTATTGTGTAACCTAAAATCAATACAGCAGTCAACCCGCATATTTTAAATTTAACCTCTCGGTCTTTTTGTTCCTCTGACGGTGTATAAAACTGACTCATTGTTGGTTTTGGCATAGGGTCAAGTTTTTTCCCATAAACGAGGAAGTATTCGTGCATGGCAGATTCAACATCCTTAAATGTTTGAATTGAATGTCCTTGTTTACATAGTTCTTCATTAATAAAATTTAATCTTAATATCCTATTTCTGGTCCATTGTGACTGGGCTGCTTCAAGTTGTTCTAATGCTTTATTATGTCTTTTCTGCTCAGAACCTCTCATACTAGAAAATAAAAAATTACTCCCGAAAAAGCTAAAGCATTAACAACAGCTCCACCGACCATCACCGCAATTCGTGCGATATTATATGAATATAAAATATTCAAATGTTTATATGAATATAAAATATTCAAATGTTTAATTACTTCATTATATCTTCCGGGAAAAGCCCTTGTTTGATGAGCATATCTTTTGTTGACATAGCCAATCCTATGTGAAGAATCATTATACCGATATCATAACCATTAAAATCTAGTTTGGGAGGTGTGGCTTTAGTAATCATTTTAGCTATACGGGCATAGCCAATGGCCAAGCTGCTGGCCACTGCTGAATGATACGTTGCATTTACCAACATTTTACCGTCTGTAACTGGAGTAGTCATGCTTCTTATAGCATTATATGAGGGCTAACCTCTAATTGAACTTGTTGTTGTGACATCGGGTGTGACGTTTTCTCTTCTCCGGTGTTATAAAACAACCATACAGCTGCTATAGCCACAACTCCTACTAGTGCCCGAGTTTTAATCGGATCAATATTTGAATTATTCATTAGTTTTGCTTTGCACGCAAGCCTGCCCATTCTTCCACCCGAGATTTTTTGGGGGTTCTTCCGCGTCACTCTGGCTTGTTTTTGTGGTTGTGGTTGTGGTTGTGGTGCAATCGCTGGTATTTCCTCATTCACTATTTCTTGTGTTTGTGTTGCAATCGGGGTGATTTCCTCGTTTGCAATCTGTTGTGGTGTCACTGGTTGTGATTGTGTTTCCGCAATCTGTTGAGTCTCCATTATTATTAAGTGGGCACGTATGTTTAAATTGACAATACCTAGCCATTATTAAAGCTGTGGTGAGTGGAGCTAAGAACATTCCGTGTCTATGATAAAACTCACAGCTCACTGAGCTTATAGCGTGTTCGATGAATGGGTCTTTCTCGAGAGATTCGCATAAATACATGCGATGTTCTGCCGGGATAGGAAGAAACGTACTAGCTACGACTGTGTATAGTTGTAATATAGCCGAACCTATCATTTTAGTCATAGTAGCTACCAGTCTAGACTCGTAACGGCGGTATAGTTTTTTAATTTCTTCGTCGGTCATGTTATCAATTTTTTCGATGGTATAATTTTCCCCAAAATATTGGGAACATTTTCCACTGACTACCAAAGCCGCGAGTCTTTCTCTATGTTTATCTAAAGATTTATCTCTCATAAGTTCTTCTGCATGTTGATCAGATTCTTTGAGCATATGTTCGATGAGTTCGTCGCATTCCATAATGTAATACCTAAGGAGATATTTAAGTCTAACATAATATAATATGGCATATCCAATACATTTCGTAATAATAAACTGTTGTGAAAGAATGAGGATTTCAAACCACATTATGTCATATTAACCGCTAATGTTCAATTTATCGTATTTTTTCGCTATATTTGCTATAGTTTGCTATTTTGCTATAATTTTGCCACATTTTGCTATCTTTTTGCTATATTTGCTATAATTTTGCCACATTTTGCTATAATTTTGCCACATTTTGCTATAATTTTGCCATATTTTACTAAGCAATTGCATAAGCAGCTGGTTGATCGGTTTTTAATACGAGTTTTCTGACTTTATCTTGTTTGAGCTTGGTATAAATAACATCATTTTCGCGTAGAACGAATGAATCTTGGTCTTTGCAATGAAACCCATTTGGTCTGGTCTCTGAGATCTTTCAGGACAGAGTTGTATTTTTGAGTAAGTACCCAAACGCTATGCTGAGTATGCCGTCCGGAGAACGCTTAATACGAAAACATATCTTTTTTTTTGGTGAGTTCTTTACTCGCACTGCAATCGTCTATTACGAAAAGGGTTGATTCTCCTTTGTATTTTTTGTGACATACTTGTAAACAGTCTTGTAAACAATCGCCCGGATCAACTCTGTGTACCCCGTCGTCATTCATTACCCAATCTCTCGATAGGTATGTTTTATTATCACTTATAGTCGGGCACAGAATAATAATATGATCAAAAACGTCCCGATAATGACTTTCTAAAATATCTAGAATAAAAGCTGTTTTTCCACAACCCGCTTGCCCGCAGATGATAGCGCAGTGTGGTTCTTTAGGTATCTCGTTGATGTATACTCTCAAAACATTTAAGCAAGATCAATTAAAAATATTATATGACCGTAATATACACTAAGGGTTTATATCCGGTGCTCGATGAGCCATTTGAAAAGATGGATACTGTTGATTGATTTCGATTACATCAAATAAGTGACATAAAACATCGAATAGAAAAGGAGAGGGAGTTTAGACTTGGATTGTATAAAAAGTATCGCAGAGCCGTGAATGCTCTGGACGGAGTTGACACCGCGCTTGTAACAGCTGGCATGGGACTCGGTGGAGCCAGTGTTGGTTTATTATCAACTATAATCGCCATGCCTATCGTACTTGGTATTGAAATAGCCGTCGGAGTCTCAGGATTGGCAGGAATAACGATAAAATTCATTTCTCGTAAGTTGCAAAAGAAAGCATTAAAAAACGATAATATTTGGATACTCGCCGAAGCAAAGTTGAACAGCATTGAGGGTCATATTTCAACAGCAATGGCTGATTGTAAGATATCCCCGGAGGAGTTTCGTTTAGTGCTGTTGGAACTCACCAAACACAACGTAATGAAGCAAGAGATTCGATCTAATTCTCATAAGACCAGTGGTATTAGCGAAGAAAAGAAAAAAAGTTCATAGAACAGGGGAGACAACAAGCGCGTCAATTATTCCGTGCCAAAACCAAAGAACTGGTTGGTGATTAAAAATAGATTGCTTACTATCATTAGATCACATTTAGAAGAATGCTTACATATGTATATAATAATGGAAAATTACAAACCAATAAAGGAAGAACTCGAAAAAGCTATTGAAACATTTATGCTCAGGGACAAAATTATCAAATGAGAGAATTACCACAAGGTATATATTATATCAGTGATGTCAAACCAACCAAATACGGTCATCAATTGTTTCTTTCCAATTACCAAGAAGAGTATATAGTCTGGTCTCCTAGTAAAATGAACGAAGAACTTAGTAAAAATGTTGAGTATCACTTCGTTAAAAATAATGGTATACGTATTAGTAAAAATAATAGAGAATATTTTCATTACAATTTAGTTTAGTCTCGTCATTGTTTTTGTACTAATAGTATCATTGATTGGCTTCAGGTGGTGGTGAGTCAATTTAGTTTAATCTCATGACTATCTTTGAATCGCATAGTCATTTACACATAAAAAATGCCACCTGTAGTAGCAGGTTAGGTATATAAATCTGGCTCCAGTGGAGTTGCGGCAGAACCCCTATTACCTATAAAAATTTATATCATAGAAACATTGATTGACTCCAGGTGGTGGTGAGCTAGAGTCAATTTAGTTTAATCTCATGACTATCTTTGAATCGCATAGTCATTTACACATAAAAAATGCCACCTGTAGTAGCAGTATAGGTATATAAATCTGGCTCCAGTGGAGTTGCGGCAGAACCATCATTACCTATACTACTTGTCCCTGAAAATTCGTGAAAAAAAATTATGCTTAAGACTGTTGATTAAATAGGAAATTGCCTGCCCCAATCATGACATTGTTGAAAGGGTATTTCTTTAAACACTCATAGTTTTGATCTGGTTTTGTAGAATTTCATTCTTCAGACACAATCCCCTTGCCCCTAATACGTACCATCGCCAAGGAAGTCAAACGAATTGATGCTGAGGGAAAACTGCATCTCTGTGCGTTCATCTCCCCCTGTTGGCGTGACGCTCCTCACTGCCTTGCAATCGCTGAAGTATACCCGCCTGAAACCGATCATGGGAACTTTACTGGAAGCGGGGGCCTTGTTGCGGAATGTTTAAATGCAATTGTGTTTTATTGAAACTTGGTAGACACGTTTTCTGTAACATGATTGGCGTCCACTATTATTCCCGGCCGACTATGCCGCATATCGCTGGGTAGTCATCCCTTATACCTGTGGTCGTGGATCTATGAATATAGAAAATGGTTTTGTCACTTTTATTTAAATCCCAGAATACTCGTGGGTTTCACCTTAGTGGTGCACGCCTCAGTCCTGCATCACTTTAGGCTTTTCTCCCACATCAAGTTGGCAGGCTGTGAAATAACCCAATACACTCAGTGACTGCGGAGTAAAACGACATTCCAAAATGGCTAATTTAATCAATATTCACTACTGGAGATATTCCTGATAAGTATAGGTTAGACCACGAGGACCCAGTGTTTGATCGTTGAAATGGTTAGTTACACCACGAGGCGCGCAGCCTCAACCATTTCAACGATTACACACTGGGTTCCGAGTGGTCTAATATACTTAAACCATGTCCAATATTTTTGGCACCTAAAATGCTTAAAAAAATATTGTTTTGTTAAAGGTATTTTGAAAGATATTCAGGAACTCTATGCTCAACTGTGAGAACACTGTGTGAGTCGGCCCTGCGTGAAGCACGTGAAATGTGTTCCCCGAGCATTTGCACGCGCACCTCGCACTTTTTAGCGATTTGGGTTATGAAATGCATGTCCCGGGGCAAGTATACAATTCATTTTGAAGCAACTCGAGCACATTCATCAATAAACTAAATATTACTTGCCCATGTTGATGGGCCTATTATGAGCAACTACAGCCCTGATCAAGATAATTGTAATTTCTTTCGTTGAACGAAAAGCTACAAAATCACAAGGACTGTTCAAATACTAGAAGGCATAGAGTAACATACTGTATAAAAAATGCATAAAACCCATTTCGCAATTCATAAAGGGATAAGCAATTGGTATTGATGTAAGTAAATATTTAGTTGTTAATTTCATACCCTATCTCTAATGTCGCTATGGCGACGTTAGTTAGACAACGGTCAAAGACAAAGCAGCCATGGTTTAAGTGTTGTTATTGAATTAACATTGTGTCCACTCTGTTTACAAAAGTAAATCTTATAAAGCAGATAAACAGTGTTGCCTCCCGAGATGATACACAGACCAGCCACTCCGTGATACCAACCCTTCATAGCTCCTGACTTTCCCAGGCTTGCAGGTCAACGTGGCAAGTGGAGTGACCGTGAAGGGGGCGACAGTGTCAACCGACAGCAGAACATCGGGCACACCACTGTAGTCTAGAGCGATGAACACCTTGTCGTTATGGTAAGCAATGCCAGTCGCAACTCCAGTGTCCTCGGCCAAGACTAGAGTCGCAAACAGAGAGTGGTCGACATAGAGGTAACGTTTGTTTGTTTGTTTGTTTGTTGTTAAACGCCGCACTCATCAATGTTCCAGCTATATGATGGCGGTGTGTAAGTAATCATAATCCAGTGATTACGACAAGCATAGGTGCCTCTTACGGCAAGCATGGGTTGCTGAAGACCTACAGAAAATATTATAGTTTCAAACAGCATTGATTAGTTTGGGTTGTTGCTTTATGTTTAACGCCACACTCAGCAATATTTCACCTAAATGACGACGGAATGTGACCAGACAATCCAGTGACTGAAATCATGAGCATCGACCTACGCAATGGGGATACGATGACATGCATCAACAAAGCCAGAGGGCCTGACATACACAAGTTTGAAGGACGTGAGAGTAAAACAGTTTCATTACATGGATGGGCTGCTCTTTATACATGTACTTATAGATGGCTACAGGATAGTCCCTGACTCTTTATACATGTACGTATAGATGGGCAGCAGGATACTCCCTGACTCTTTATGCATGGCTACAGGATAGTCCCTGACTCTTTATACATGTACGTATAGATGGCTACAGGATAGTACCTGACACTATGTACATGTACTTATGGATGGGTCACAGAGTAGTCCATGACTCTTTATACATGTATGTATAGATGGCTACAGGATAGTCCATGACTCTTTATACATGTACGTATAGATGGCTACAGGATAGTCCATGACTCTATGTACATGTACTTATGGATGGGTCACAGGATAGCCCCTGACTCTTTGTACATGTACGTATAGATGGGCAGCAGGATAGTACCTGACACTATGTACATGTACTTATGGATGGGTCACAGGATAGTCCCTGACTCTTTATACATGTACGTATAGATGGCTACAGGATAGTCCCTGACTCTTTATACATGTACGTATAGATGGCTACAGGATAGTCCATGACTCTATGTACATGTACTTATGGATGGGTCACAGGATAGCCCCTGACTCTTTGTACATATACGTATAGATGGGCAGCAGGATAGTACCTGACACTATGTACATGTACTTATGGATGGGTCACAGGATAGTCCCTGACTCTTTATACATGTACGTATAGATGGCTACAGGATAGTCCCTGACTCTTTATACATGGCTTCAGGATAGTCCCTGACTCTTTATACATGTACGTATAGATGGCTACAGGGTAGTCCCTGACTCTATGTACATGTACTTATAGATTGGTCACAGGAAAGCCCCATACTTTTTATACATGGCTTCAGGATAGTCCCTGACTCTTTATACATGTACGTATATATGGCTACAGGATAGTCCCTGACTCTTTATACATGTACGTATAGATGGCTGCAGGATAGCCCCTGACTCTTTATACATGTACGTATAGATGGCTACAGGATAGCCCCTGACTCTTTATACATGTACGTATAGATGGCTACAGGATAGTCCCTGACTCTTTATACATGTACGTATAGATGGCTACAGGATAGTCCCTGACTCTATGTACATGTACTTATGGATGGGTCACAGGATAGCCCCTGACTCTTTATACATGTACGTATAGATGGCTACAGGATAGCCCCATACTTTTTATACATGGCTTCAGGATAGTCCCTGACTTTTTATACATGTACGTATAGATGGCTACAGGATAGTCACTGACTCTTTATACATGTACGTATAGATGGCTACAGGATAGTCCATGACTCTTTATACATGTACGTATAGATGGCTACAGGATAGTACCTGACTCTATGTACATGTACTTATGGATGGGTCACAGGATAGCCCCTGACTCTTTGTACATGTACGTATAGATGGCTACAGGATAGTACCTGACACTATGTACATGTACTTATGGATGGGTCACAGGATAGTCCCTGACTCTTTGTACATGTACGTATAGATGGCTACAGGATAGTACCTGACACTATGTACATGTACTTATGGATGGGTCACAGGATAGCCCCTGACTCTTTGTACATGTACGTATATATGGCTACAGGATAGCCCGTGACTCTATGTACATGTATTTATGGATGGGTCACAGGATAGTCCCTGACTCTATGTACATGTACGAATAGATGGCTACAGGATAGTACCTGACACTATGTACATGTACTTATGGATGGGTCACAGGATAGTCCCTGACTCTTTGTACATGTACGTATAGATGGCTACAGGATAGTCCATGACTCTTTATACATGGCTTCAGGATAGTCCCTGACTCTTTATACATGTACTTATGGATGGGTCACAGGATAGTCCCTGACTCTTTATACATGTACGTATAGATGGCTACAGGATAGTACCTGACACTATGTACATGTACTTATGGATGGGTCACAGGATAGCCCCTGACTCTTTGTACATGTACGTATATATGGCTACAGGATAGCCCGTGACTCTATGTACATGTATTTATGGATGGGTCACAGGATAGTCCCTGACTCTATGTACATGTACTTATTGATTGGTCACAGGAAAGCCCCAGACTTTTTATACATGGCTACAGGATTGTCCCTCACTCTTTATACATGTACTTACAGGAATAAGAAGGTGATGTCAATTGATTTGTCCTCACGACACCTGGTCAGAATGATCAATACGTTCATTCCTTTTTGTTTGTACTAAAAACTAGTTCTGGGAAAGTGACCCTGGAGAAACGTACTTGTTTCATTAGCGATGACAGTTTCCGTTTCCTCGGTGCTGTTGATAACCCAACATACTATGTGTAACGGATGTTCGCTGAAGTAGTAGATAGTATACGCGGGACACAGAGCGATGGAACCATCCACTACTATCCCGCTGACATTTTCAGAGGCCTGAAGACTTGGCTGGATCGTCCCGACGGGGTCCACCACAGCAACGTCAGAACATGAACAGGCTGCGACCAAACTAGCACACCCTTCCACTGTAAGACATCAGACACAGTTCTGGATAACAACAAATGTTCTCGATTGATTGTTCCAGGTGCCAGGTTCCTGATTCAGAAGACCTTTACGGGCAGTGTTATTGCTCTTTCGAAGCGACATGACGTGTTTGATAACATTATAATATGTGTCTTGCAAGATGGTAATATTTCATATATTGATGGAATGGCAATTATATGTGTACACCTTTTTTGGTTCCAAATTACAACAACAGTGGCGCTCAGATAACGAATAAGTACAAATATCGTGATGGTTTGGATGTATACATACGATGAGGACACGTATCTGGCTGCGATTCGGTCACATTTTCCAACTCCACGGTAAGGTCACATAACAGCCTGGTCAGGACTTCGAGCTGAGCTTCAAAGCAGCCAACATCAGCTATGGTTTCATTACCACTCAGTGGCGTGCCATCTGAAAATAGATCTAGCTAGGCATCAGGACGCCCCGAGGGTACAAAGAGGGTGGTTTCCTTCTGCAACAACTGTACATAACATGACGTAAAGAGTTATATCGTCTCACGAAGTGAATTTTGAAAACCTTTATGCAACGACTCAATAATAACAATGATAATAATAGGCGTGAAGCTTGTAAACTACAAGCATTAGTGACAATGTATTTCAACGTGGCCCAGATTCCAACAGTTTCCCGACGCTTGACACTGAATGTTCACCATAGCATCACCAGATGTGTTATACACGACGTGTTGTACACTATCTGTTGTACCGGATGTGTTATACACGACGTGTTGTACGAGATGTGTTGTACGGGATGTGTTATACACGACGTGTTGTAAGGGATGTGTTGTACCGGATGTGTTATACACGACGTGTTGTACGGGATGTGTTGTACCGGATGTGTTATACACGACGTGTTGTACGGGATGTGTTATACACGACGTGTTGTACGGGATGTGTTGTACCGGATGTGTTATACACGACGTGTTGTACGGGATGTGTTATACACGACGTGTTGTACGGGATGTGTTGTACCGGATGTGTTATACACGACGTGTTATACACGATGTGTTGTACCGGATGTGTTATACACGATGTGTTATACACGATGTGTTGTACCGGATGTGTTATACACGACGTGTTGTACGGGATGTGTTGTACCGGATGTGTTATACACGACGTGTTGTACGGGATGTGTTGTACCGGATGTGTTATACACGACGTGTTGTACACGATGTGTTGTACCGGATGTGTTATACACGACTTGTTGTACAGGATGTGTTGTACCGGATGTGTTATACACGACGTGTTGTACACGATGTGTGGTACCGGATGTGTTATACACGACGTGTTGTACGGGATGTGTTGTACCGGATGTGTTATACACGACTTGTTGTACACGATGTGTTGTACCGGATGTGTTATACACGACGTGTTGTACGGGATGTGTTATACACGACGTGTTGTACAGGATGTGTTGTACCGGATGTGTTATACACGACGTGTTGTACACGATGTGTTGTACCGGATGTGTTATACACGACGTGTTGTACACGATGTGTTGTACCGGATGTGGTATATCGTATGTGTTCACGATGTGTTGTACGGGATGTGCTTTACCAGAAGCGTTATAGACGACGTGTTGTACGGGATGTGTTGTACCGGATGTGTTATACACGACGTGTTGTACACGATGTGTTGTACCGGATGTGTTATACACGACGTGTTGTACGCGATGTGTTGTACCGGATGTGTTATACACGACGTGTTGTACACGATGTGTTGTACCGGATGTGTTATACACGACGTGTTGTACGGGATGTGTTGTACCGGATGTGGTATACACGACGTGTTGTACACGATGTGTTGTACCGGATGTGTTATACAAGACGTGTTGTACACGATGTGTTGTACCGGATGTGTTATACACGACTTGTTGTACGAGATGTGTTGTACGGGATGTGTTATACACGACGTGTTGTACGGGATGTGTTGTACCGGATGTGTTATACACGACTTGTTGTACACGATGTGTTGTACCGGATGTGTTATACACGACGTGTTGTACGAGATGTGTTGTACCGGATGTGTTATACACGACGTGTTTTACGGGATGTGTTGTACCGGATGTGTTTTACACGACGTGTTGTACACGATCTGTTGTACCGGATGTGTTATACACGACGTGTTGTACAGTATGTGTTGTACCGGATGTGTTATACACGACGTGTTGTACACGATGTGTGGTACCGGATGTGTTATACACGACGTGTTGTACACGATGTGTGGTACCGGATGTGTTTTACACGACGTGTTGTACACGATCTGTTGTACCGGATGTGTTATACACGACGTGTTGTACGGGATGTGTTGTACCGGATGAGTTATACACGACGTGTTGTACACGATGTGTGGTACCGGATGTGTTATACACGACGTGTTGTACACGATGTGTTGTACCGGATGTGTTATACACGACTTGTTGTACGGGATGTGTTGTACCGGATGTGTTATACACGACGTGTTGTACACTATCTGTTGTACCGGATGTGTTATACACGACGTGTTGTACGAGATGTGTTGTACGGGATGTGTTATACACGACGTGTTGTAAGGGATGTGTTGTACCGGATGTGTTATACACTACGTGTTGTACACGATGTGTTGTACCGGATGTGTTATACAAGACGTGGTGTACACGATGTGTTGTACCGGATGTGTTATACACGACGTGTTGTACGGGATGTGCTTTACCAGAAGCGTTATAGACGACTTGTTGTACGGGATGTGTTGTACCGGATGTGTTATACACGACGTGTTGTACACGATGTGTTGTACCGGATGTGTTATACAAGACGTGGTGTACACGATGTGTTGTACCGGATGTGTTATACACGACGTGTTGTACGGGATGTGTTGTACCGGATGTGGTATATCGTATGTGTTCACGATGTGTTGTACCGGATGTGCTTTACCAGAAGCGTTTTAGACGACGTGTTGTACGGGATGTGTTGTACCGGATGTGTTATACACGACGTGTTGTACGGGATGTGTTATACACGACGTGTTGTACACGATGTGTTGTACCGGATGTGTTATACACGACGTGTTGTACACGATTTGTTGTACCGGATGTGTTATACACGACGTGTTGTACACGATGTGTTGTACCGGATGTGGTATATCGTATGTGTTCACGATGTGTTGTACCGGATGTGCTTTACCAGAAGCGTTATAGACGACGTGTTGTACGGGATGTGTTGCAGCGGATGTGTTATACACGATGTGTTGTACCGGATGTGTTATACACGACGTGTTGTACGAGATGTGTTGTACGGGATGTGTTATACACGACGTGTTGTACGGGATGCGTTGTACCGGATGTGTTATACACGACGTGTTGTACACGATGTGTTGTACCGGATGTGTTATAATCAAATAATATGATTTAGAAATAATTTTACTAATTGGTATTAACATGACTTCATTGATATTTACTGTTGAGAGTTTAACTGCAATACGCGGGGAGTACATCCGCGCGCTGCACGTGACACACGTGATTCAGGCCCGTTGTAACAATGAGCGCACGTGGTTCAAGCCAGTCGAATGAATTCCACTGGAGAGGATGGACGCAGACGACAACGATCTATTTCTGACGCAGTCAGTTTTTAAAGAATCGGCATCCTGTGCTGAAGAAGACAAAGAAAGTGATGACTTTAACTTCCGTTTTGGAGATCCACTCTCCGAGCGTGAAATAGCCAAGAAAATTGAGATCTGTGTCCCTAGAACAACACGTTATAAAAATGACTGGGCATTCTCAACATTTAAACGGTGGCAAGAAGAACGCAGGTCACGGTCAATTGCGGACAATTTGGAATTACCGCAAAAGTGCTTGACAGAGGATATAGTCGAAATGAGCCTATCTACTATGAACACCGCTTTCAAATATTTCCTTTGTGAGGCGAGGAAAGTGGACGGCACCCAGTACACGGCGGAAACTGTACATGGACTGTTTACCGCTCTTCAGAGTGGCTTGAGGCTGAAAGGGTGAAAGGATATTAATTTGTTCGAGGATCAACAGTTTGAAGAGAGCAGAACATGTCTGGACGCTTTAATGAAGGAACTTTCTTAAAAAGGACTGGGCAGCGCTGTCAGGAAGAAAACTGAAACTATATCAATGGACGACGAGGATCGCTTGTGGAGTAGCGGTTCATTAGGCGAAGACGACCCTCAGCAACTTGTGGATACGGTTCTTTATCTTACCGGTAAGTAAATCACACAGTTGTTTTTCTTTATATCTTTGAAAATCACTTTTACAAATAGTATAAACTAAATCATTGGAATTTGTTCATTCACATATAAAATTGAAATATTAATGTGTGAACCTTTTTGAACACAAAAGTTTAACAGTTTGTTGAAATAATTAACTGAATTTTCATTATTGTTCATATTTGCTGTTGTCTAAAATACACATTTTCAAAACATTTACACAGGTTTGCATTTCGCACTGCGAGGAGGAAGAGAGCATAGAGCGCTGAGGCTGTTCACGAACCCCCAAATAACAGGTCCCCACACTGACTATAATGGCAGAAAGTATCTACTCTACACGGAAGACGCATCAAAGACTAATCACGGCGGCTTGAAGCACAGGAAGCTGGTACAGAAACAAGTTCGAGCGTATGAGAACACGGACAACCCTAAAAGATGTTTTGTGCGTCTCTTTGAAAAGTACAGGTCTTTGTGGTAAGTGTTAAAAACACCAATGCATATTGCATGTATTACCTAAACGTTTATTTAGTGGTTTGGGAATTATGTATTTGATAATCGCTTTATATAAATCTTGACTACATTCTAACTTTTGAATGAAATTTTCAGAAGGTGGAGTATCCGCCCACTCAATGCATTGTTTCACAAAAACAAATATTACAAGTGTCCCTTTCTATCTTATTTCCCCCAGCAAACCTGGTCAACATACTGAATACTTCTACTCCACTCCAAGAAGGACTAGAACGTCGAAAGACTGGTATACTGTAAATGCCATCGGCCATTTACCTTACAAGTTACCGTCAAAAGACTGTGCAAGACGTCCGGTATTGAGGGCATGAAGACAAACCATTCCTTGAGAGCCACGGCAGCCTCTCGATTGTATCAAGGTGACATTGATGAACAAATGATTTGCGAAATTACCGGTAGGTTGATAAACATTTTAGTCTTGCAGTAATAAGAAATTGTTTTTCAGCAAAAGTCATAACATATCAAAGAAATATTTTTTCCAAAACCAGTAAGATGGTCTTTTATTCATGATATATATGGTAATATTGGTGTTTTTTTAATCTGTAATAGTTTTTAAGTGTATTTGTATGCTGTTTGTGTAATACTTTCACTCATCTAAACAATCTGTTTCAGGACATCGGAGCGACGCCGTTCGAAATTACAAGAGAACTTCTGACAACCAAAAGGCAACGGTCTCTGACATACTTAGTATGTCAAAAAAAATGAACTCGCCATCACGTGAAGAAGCTGATCCGAAAAGAGCACATGACCAAAGACCTGAAGACAAACTAAATCGAACTGTGACGCTCAATTTCAATTTCAACTAATATCAATAAATAGTTGAGCCATGTTCTGTTGTTGTTTTTTCATGCAGAAAGGTAAGTCAATACAGAGGGTATTCTTCGGGACAAAAACCAGGCTTTCAGAAGAAAATCTCCCGGGATTTCTTGCAGACAGCCCGGGGCTTACCCTAGGAATGCCCGGGGCTTACCCTGGGAATGCCCGGGGCTTACTCTTGGAATGCCCGGTAAACTACCAGTAGAGGTTTAGTCGGTAAAAGAAGACCCTGGCGAGACAATAGAGTGACGTCACTAGAGGTTTATAAGGAGGCCTACGTCGCGCAACCGATCTGATTTGGTCTCTTAAGATATATAATATTAGTTGATTGGTTATGAAAGAAGGAGAGCCTATTCTTTATTATCTTAAAGATGGACCAGGCAGGGCATTTGTACGAGAAGAGTTGTTCATAGTTCCCGACGATACAGTATTACCGCCCTAAGTAACCATAAGCATAGGTAGTTACACCATCCTTATCAATCCATCTCTTTGTATCAAGGGGGATAATGATGTCTTGTTCATTCTTAATCCATATATTCTATGATTGTAACTTCTTAAAGAGTTCATTTCGTGTTTGAACATTCTACCGTTGAATAATGCTTCTTTATACTGTTCGTGTTTGATATGCTTTTTTACCACATACTTTTTAACACCCTTAGCTTTTCTTATCTCTCCATTATCGGACTTCTTTATAGAATACATCTTAGGTCTTATCCTACATACTCCGCTATAGGGGTCCCAGCACATTCATCCTTCATCTTACCTAACACCTTTTTATTTACTACGCTGTGCAATGGATTATCTTTTGGATAATCGCTCGTGTCGTACATATCTATTTTTTCTGCCATATCTTTACACACATCCTCGGTTTGTATTTCCATCAACAAAGAATCTGTGTCGGAATATAACACCTCGCATCTATCGCCGCATTGCTTCTTAAGTTCGTTGTAATAAAAGTCATACATTAAGTGTTTTGACAAGTCGAGAATACTCATACCAACGTACACCGGTCTGTTGAATTTTATATTACTCTTCTGCATATGCAACGCGGCTAAGTCGTTATCGAATATCTTGCTTCTGTTAAAAGCCGGACTTGCTATAAGTTTCCTGAGTTTTTCTTCCTCATTAGACCTGACTAATTTAACATCAACACGCTTCCTTAGATTCTCCATAGTTTTACCAAATACCGAGTTATTCATGAGCTTATACAGATTCTTTTCGAAAATCGCTGGTAGCTATCTTTCTTAAATCTGTGTTCAACCTTATATAGGGCTCCATCCAAGGGCTCTGATCAAACTTTAGAACCCTGTGTATTTTCTTTAGTTTGATACCTAACGATAGATATAACTGGAGATTTCTGTAGTGAACTATATATTTTGTCTTATCTTATCAAATTTGGTACGAGTTTTTCTACGTTAGCTAACCTAGTATTACCCATCAAGGAGTGTTGATATTCCGACATCCAATCTTTATTCACCATTAATCTTTTGGGAGCTAGCGGATAACTGTTATGGTCTTTATGTAACGAATTTGGATATTCCAAGTCAACTTCTAGTATGTACCCTTTATCGGAATCTGTGGGGATATCATTCACATTGATATTATGAATATCAACCCACTCAAAACCACTTGTGGGTAAAGGTTGACTCATAGCCCATCCGTACAAATTGTTGGCGTCGAGATATAATATATGTGTCAGGTTTACTCGGATCATATCCTTCCACTAATTTATTATTAGCCTTAGAATACCTTTTCGCCGCCATCGATATACTACCTCTTAATCCTTTCTCAATAAACAAGTGCATATCTTATCTGTGAGTAGTTTTAGTTCTACGCCGGTCTTCTTCAACAATGCATCCAACGATAGTCCGGGACTGGAATAGTACCATGCTGGTTCCAAGCCGTATTGTTTTAAACATGTCTTTCTAAATATCTGGAATATATCAGCCAGTAACAGTACATCGGTTTTTAAGTACAGATCGTGATAATCACCTAAATTCTTACAACCTAATTTATCCCACACGGTCAGAGCATGTTAATAATCGGCATCGGTTAATTTAGATTCTGTTAAGTTACTATATAATAATTCAAGAGGTGGTAATTTAGTTTCGTTGAATCAAGACCAATCATCAATATATTCGTAAGGATATACACCTTTTCTCAGCAACAAATGACGAGTTAACCTATCGGTATATTGATTTGTTATCGCAAAGTCTTCGGGATTGTTCGCATAAGCTAAATTGTCCAGGGAAGATAACAGAAACTGTACGGAGTCTATGAATCTAAGTCCATTACTTTGCTTTCTTCCGACTTTCCCATCCTTGTCCCTATAATGTATAGTTTTAGTCAACGAGAATGATATGTATTTTTCCATATTATTAGGAAGCCAAGCCAACGTCGGTCTTTGAGATAGCTTGCATGATGAGATGAGAATCGTATCCTCTAAGGTTATGAAACACAACAGGGATGGGTATTGTTTGAGAATTCATTTTTAGTTTCAAGTTACACTCGTTATGCGCGGCTCCCCGATAATTACCTGTGACGTGGCAATGATCTCTTACGGAATCCCCATTCAGGGGTTTATTACAAACATGACAACTCGTTGACCTCTTATAGGCCCTCCAATCATCCCTTGTCATATACATGAGTTTCTTACACGATAAATTTTCCCTGATTATTCTCTCTTCGTTTTGTAGATATTCTAGGAACTTTCCCGCTGCATCGGGACCTCTGTAAATCACGGGCGGGTTTGTTTTCCCATCATACCTTACAACTATTTATCCAAACCCACAAGGAATATGTTCTTGAGTTTTGTACGTATCTTGATTATTATCTTGATTATTTTCTATAGGTTTGATAAGCGCTTCAAAGTCGGCGTAAATTACGTACGGTACTGGTATTTGGTTACAATCTTGTTCAAATTTCAATATATTTTTCCCCTCTTTAGGCATATCGATCCTGATAGCAGTCTGTCCAACACCTCTACAGTCTTCTTTATGCGCTTCCAATAGATCTTGTCTGCTGTACCCATGCAGGCATCTTTCACAGAAATATTTCTTTCCCTTATATTTAGTTTGATCGTATAATAGCCTGCTTAAACTCGTTATCCATGTATAATGATATTTTCCATCTTTTTCGATTAGAAATGAATTGATCCTGGGAATATGTTCTGGAGCAGAGCTTATCCTGTGTACAACAATTCCTTTAGAAGAATGTCCGAAAACATTTATAGCTAAATTGTTTTGCTTTTCCACCTTATCAATTTGTGATATTTGTGTAGGTTCGTCTATACAATCGAAGTTGAGTCCATCGTTTTGGGGATAGCTAGAAGGTCTATTTGCAATTTTAGAATCTACGGGGAACAATGCAGATCTTATCATCATTCTTAAACAGTCATCGGATTTATTTTTTACATTAATTATGGCTTTTTTCTTTTTATAATAGGGGGGTAAATCTATATAAGATCCACCTTTGAAGGGCATATAATTTGCTATATCTAAATATAAACTATCGATTTTATCCACACCCCAACCCGAACCTCTACTAGTCCAGCTTTCTAAAGTTTCCTGTATCCTCTGAATTGATGTATCTAATGATGCGTTTATAGTATCGGATTCGGTTATAACTTCTTGATTGCTTCGGAAATATGGTTCGGTATATTCGGTGCTATCGTCTGTGTTACTTTTACTCAATGACATTTTAATCGTCAGCTTGTATTTTATACTATGTAAATCATCTAACTCCTCATTAATTTTGCTCGATATTATGGGCTTAACATCATTAACATCCATGTTGGAATTAATATCCATCTTCCAACCTCCAAGATATTTACCAATGCCGGCGGATGTGGGTACAAATTTTAATTCTTGTTGTTTTTTATCAACATCGTCATGTTGTTTTTTATCAACATCATCAGGTTGATTATCATTATCTAGTAAAGCGATCAAGTCAGCTCTTCTCATTCGAGAATAACCTCTCAGCCCACTGTTTTTTGCTTGAGGTTTGAGTTCTCTAACAGTCTGGGGTTTGTTGTATTCCAAACCGAGTAAATCGATCAATTCAGCTTTTCTCATTTTAGAATATCCATGTAGACCACGTTGTTTTGCCATAGCCTTCAACTCTCTGACAAAAAACAATGTGACCATGGTATATACAAAATGATTCATTTGTCTAAATGGTTATTTTTCATATATAAATACGTATTCTCCCCAACCTATTCCTCTCATTGATGTAATCTCTCTTCCTAGCGTAAATAATCTGCTTCCTGACCTTATCAGCACCGAGACTCTTACATATGTAAGGAAGTATTCGTGCATGGCAGATTCGACATCCGTAAGCATTTGAATTGAATGTCCCTGTCTACGCAGTTCATGAATAAAATCTAATCTCTCTATTCTGCGGGGAGAACTCATCAATAATATAGCCAAGCTATCGGAAATCGACAAGCATATAGCTTATGAGAAAACAAAACTTGAACAGGCGGTTGATGAATTCAGTAGACGTCGCGTTGCAGAAAGATTATGTAACTTAGAAGACGAAAGATCGGCCCGCCTCGAAGCAGCTTCGAGTAATAGAAAGGCACTTCATTCACAAATCAGTCGAATTCGAGAAACTATCGATCAAGTCCTCAACGATGACACTACACTGGCCGATAAAATCAAAACATTGTTCAGAGAACAAGCAATAACCTTTGCCAGTATTTTAACCGCATTTATTATATCAACTTTGACTCTCACGCTAACTGGTGGCAGTGGACCTCCCACACCTCCCACACCCCCTAGGTCGGACGGTATAAAAGAGTGGATAAAAAAGCATTTAAAAGCATTAGGTTCAGGACTGGGAAAGCTCGCTGGGAAAGATGCGTCTGCACTTCCCGGTATAATAGGGAGTATAGTTTCCTGGCTCTTGAATTTATTAGCTAAGACCACCACTTGGCTTAGTCAAAACTTGTGGGCACTGATCGTAGCAATTGCAGGGATGTTGTACGTATCCGCTAAGAACTTTTTAACCAAATCAGTTCGCTAAAGACTATTT